TGTCATCAGCTGGATTTATTAGTATTGACACAGTAAAGTCTGGAAGTACTCTACAGTAAAGTCAAAATAGGTAACATTTCTTAAAGATATTTTGCTCACGTTTGCATACCATTGGTTTTGATACCCAAGAATACCCTTAGTGCACTGGGATTTATGCATATTCATGCTTTGGAGGTCTAATCAACCCCCCATGAATGTGGAAAAGAACCATTTTGTTCCTTTTAATGAACTTTTGATCAGAATTTAGATCAAAAAACCTACTGTGCTGTAAGTGGAACTTACAGCTGCCTGTATTTAAGTTAACACTTGGCAAATTAACTTAGGACTGCCTATAGCGAAGTTTACTAAACCATTTCCAATATAGTATTTCATTTTAGCTTTCTTATGCCAACTTGAGCTGTTCTGGATTTTGGATTAAATAACCCAGCACTGGATAGTTATCCTAGGTAGGGTGAGGGAAATCTACTTCCTCTACCTGCTTTTTAAAAGCACAGGTTTTAGAAGCCTCAGTAAAAAAAAACAAAACCAGGATCTTGATAGTTTTAAAGAATGAAATTTGGGGAAGAAAGGGAGGAGAGCCTGTGTTAGAAAAGATTCTCCAGCTGTCTCATGGAGAAGCACCTACTATCCACTAGTGCTGTGGACCAGAGACATAAAATTTAGCAGGCTGGAAGGCCTCTCAGTTATTGCCTTCCTGTGAAATACCTCCCCAGTGCTTGCCTGTCTGTCCTCAGCTGTCCAAACATCTTTGTTTGCATCAACCTACGGAGAATTTTTGGATCCTTTTGGATAGACTATCCAAAAATTCCCCTGGCAAGACGCCTGCTGCCTTCTGGGACCTTCTTGCAGGTGTCCCTCTGGGTGACACCGGCATGGCGCTCAGCTGCGGAGTGGAAAGCGGGAGGCTGTTTGTTTCTTCGGTGCATCTCCTGCCAAAGTCGTGGAGGAGAGAGCCTGACTGAAAGCCCAGGGGTGAAAAACAGGTAGGTGGAGGGATAAAGCAAGTGAAATGAGGGACAGGACTGAAGGCAGGCTAATTCAGCTCAAGAAAAACGGGAAGGGAACAAGAAATTGGGTAGGTGCTGGGGGATGCAGGAGGGAGCGAGGAGAGCTGAGAGAAGCCAGGGGAGAAGGGGACAGAGGTGCAGGGTGCACTGGAGCAGGAGCAGTGTGGAGGGGGCTGTGGTCTGGTAGGTGGGGAGAAAAGACGGTTCAAGGCTGGGACTCTCCCGTGAAAGACCCCCCACAGCACTGTTTTTAACCAAGGCAATAACTGGGCCCTGATACCCTAGTTGCTATTTTTCACTTTCAGCAAGCAGCTGTGAAGCCTACCAGGCAAATGAGCACCCCCTCCACCTGCTACCCACTGCTTGACCAAATTGTTTACCCCGTTACGTGCAGTTTTTGCATGGGCAGCAGTGATCCCGGCACAGATCCCCAGTGCGTGGGAATCAGCATTGTCCCACGTAACGATTCATTCTGATTTCCCTCACCGCCATTTTGTGTGGGTTTTTTTTGTTTTGGGGTTTTTTGGTTGGTTGTTTTTTAAGATTACAAAATAACATTCGAAACTAAGCGCATTAAAACTGCTTGGTTTTTTACAACACGAACATAATCTCTCTGAATACTGTTACAGAGAGAGGATCCAACGCTATTTGGCAAGTGCTTTGCAAAATAAATCGGCTAGAAACCTGCGCCCCTCAGCCCCATTGAACCAGCTCAATGTCCTAACTTCTCAGCAGGGTTTATCTCCCATGTCTGTATTTCTTGTAGCTATTTACAGGTTTAAAAATACTCTATTTATATTCTACTCACTTCCAAACAAACTGTCCTCATCTCTCTCTAGAAAGACAACAAAATGGCCCAGAAGACAGCAGTCACATTCTGCACACCTACGCCCACAGGTGCACACAGCAGCAGTGCATCTACTTAAGCTGTCTCTAACACACATAATTTTCCTTATTACTAAGTACTCGTCTCTTCCTTTTTCAATGCCTTTAAAATAAAAGATTTATATGTGCATATGGGCACACAGGAGAAGAAAGAAGGAGGGGAAAAAAGTGCGGGAATTGGTTTGTCTGCCTCTATATCCCTCAAATAAAAGTCTTGAGCGATGTCTCCAGATTCAGGTCCAAATCCAAAGCCTGAGGAGGTTATCAGTTACTAGTGTGGTGTACAGAATATTTTGGAGAATAATTGTCATCTATATTTCTAGATTTAAAATATATCTGTAATAAGCGTGTCACGTGGCACAGGCATCTCGCTAAGGGGCTGCTTTGCAGTTTGCCATGCAAACTCTGGCATATTTAGTTTTCTTCAGAAATGAAGGATGCATTGTATTTAACACATGTAAGCTAATAAAATTTACATTTCTTAGAAAAAAAAAAAACAACACCAAAACAACTCATCACTGTTTTTTAGAGTTACCATTTTCTGTATATACAGTAATACCACCAAATCTTCAAGGAATATTAACCAATTATTTTTCACTCTGTACCTTTATATCAAGTCCATCTCCTTTTCATAAGATCTGCTCTACCAAACCACAAGGTGTTGTGCATGATCCATAGTTTTTCTTGCATTTATGTTAATCTGGAAAGCTGTAACAGTCTCTTTTGAGTTTAGAAGCTGTGTGTTTATGCTAAGGTTGGGAATCATTAACATCCTAAACGTTTTAAGGTTTCTTTGAGATAAGCCACCTTGATTTTTACTTAGCTTTTCCAGTTTTCTCTCTTAGTTTCTCACTGCTGAAATCAGGCCAGGTATTTAATGAGGGTGATTTTTTTTGCATGAGATATTACACTAATGAATTTTGTTCTGTTGAGGAATAACATTCAAATATCCTTCCTTGGGATTATTTTGATATTTCCATTTCCAGCCTAGTCTAGGAAGGAGGAGAATGCATGACATGAAAGAAGTCATGAATTGTGGATTTGTAGAGCCAAACAGAAGTTTGTCTTTTAGTTGGACTTCAGTTTTTAAGCAAAATTTTGAATAACCCAGCTGGGTAGTTCATTCAACTATAGCACTTGAGAATATGAAAAAACCTTTTCCCTATGACCACCTCAAATCAACACCAACGGGAGGATTTTGCTATGTTGCACACAAACTGTTGGTGAAATTGCATTAAAAGTCTAGAAAGAAGTGGTATTTCATGAAGCTTTGTGTCTTCAAGCCCTCTCATATCTTTTTTTTTTTTCCCCTCTCCTCCTCTCAAACCTGGATTTCCAGATGGCACTGGTACAAAGATAAAAGAAATTACTGATTGGAAAATATAATGTGGTCGAAGGGAAATTTCTTACCAGGAAAAGAAGGCTGTGCCTTCAGAAAAATCTGGGTGTTTTTTGTTTCCACAGTCAGTGTGACCGTTTTGTCTTACGGGAGTTGTAAATCCAGCTCCTTGCCGTGTCCCTTTTTTTCTAGTGAGCCTTGCCCCTCAAGCGGGTAACTGTGCACTGTGCTTGTTCAGCCTCAGGGAAAGCCTGCAGCATATCATGGGACACAGGGGCCAACCAGAGGGGGAAAGGGGGGGAAAAAAGGGAAATGCCATATTTGAGGCAACGTTCTGTTTAAAATGTCTTTTTTTTTCTCTGTTGAGTCAGCTGTTACATCAGGGATTTGGTGTGCACAAAACTTAACGAACGGAAGTGGGTTGTTCTCATAACAAACTGCATGAGATTGAGCCTTTCTTTGAATTATTTCAAGAATAATTAATCCTAGAAAAACCAATTTCCAAAAACGTCAGAGAAATGCAATATATTAAACTTATTTACTTAAGTCATTTTCAGCCAGCTCCTAAGAGACCCTGCACACGGTGGAGGACGACACAAAGACAAATACAATGAAACATTTCAATATTTCTGTCCTTCAAACTTTCCAGTTGGCGAAAAGTTCCAATAGTTTGGGTTTTGATCTTTGTTTGAGACAAAAACAGATGTCAAAACATGTTGACTTCCTTCACAGCAACAGCTTATATTTTTGATCAGCTTTAATGGCTTTTGGAAGTATGATCGTCTTCAGATAGGGTGCATTCTTGTCGAACAGATAAGAATAATACCTCCATTAATATCTTCATTACTTTCTTATATATTTCTTGCCCTTCTCAAAAATCCTTGTATTCGTATGTTCCCATACTGACGCATTTTCCAGTACGATTATTGCCTTCCTTCAGTAGGCTTTGACATTGCAGAATGATAGTGCTGTCACAAGTACTAGAATCCCCGAACGAACGGGATTGGAAATGGCCAGCAGATCAAAAATGTTTGCTTGAAGTTTACTCTTTGGTTCGAACCAGTGGGGGGAAATATTTGCATAAATGAATTTTTAATAGATACTAAAAATAAAAAGCTGCTAAAGAAAATATAGCTTGTCTACATTATCCTGCGATTTTAATTATGCAAGCATTTATGTCCTTTGTGTATTTTGACTTAGGGCTATGTGAGACACGAGTGAACTGTCACTCATGCGGAGTTAATTATATTTTGTCCATATAGGGGGAAAAAACCCTGGGAAAATATGATAACGCTTTGCATTGGCAGTAAACGGCAGTTGTTTTTAGTCATTTGAGAAAATTCTTCTTAGCAGACTATACAAACTCTGTAGTTCAAAGTGTTCCCTGAAAAGAGGTGTATTAGCACGCGGCTAGATCCATGACAGGAATAGATTTTATTGACTGAGGAACTGTATCCTTCTGTACCATAACATTTCTTTCATTTTTTCTTTCCCTTGAATAAGAGAATGTATTTTGATTCAGTGTTTGGCAATCCAAGCCAGGTTATTTAAAATAATATTCACTTGGAATGTGCTGAGTGTAAAATGCTATTTTTAGAGTAGTTACTTTTATACAGCGTTGCAAGCAGAAATCTTTCGCTTCCCACGTGTAATACAGAACCAGTTTGTAAAGAGTCTTCAGACTTTGCACTTCTCCTTTTCCCAGGTAAGTGGCAACTAACTAGTTGTCACTGACACGTAGGGCAACAAATGGATAAAGCAAGCATGGATTCTGAGATCTATAATTTTTAATAATCTTTAAACTAGCTACAAAATGTCAATCACTTCACAAACCGACAGGAGACATAAGGAATTTCATATTACATGCTGTAAATGATATTTATCTCACAGTTTATCTAGAGTTCATTCATTTAGGTTTTTTTATTATTTTTCAATTAAGTCAGCTACTAAACATCTCAGCGATTTGGTGTGCATAGCTCTAGGTAAGCAACAGAGAACTGTACCGATAACAAACCACGTGGGGATAGCGACTAGTAAGAGAGAGCCTTATAAAAATTACATTTCTTTGCACCAGTTCATATGGTAGTCGTTTCCTCCAAAAGATAGTCTTCAAAAGCAGCAGACAAACCCAATATATTACACTTATTTCTTTTTGTCTTTGACGTATTTGCAGCCAAGCTTTTATTTTGCTGGCAATGGCTAAATGGTGAGTGCCAAATCCCTCCTTTTTCATAATTAAAAAAAAAAAAATGATCATGATTAATAACTATATATATATCAACAAGAAAAAAGTGGCACAACTGCAAACTTGCTGGTATAACATAGTCCCAAAAGAGTCCGAATACTGAGCATGCTTTTGTTGTCATTGTTGGTGTGCTACTGCCATGGGAAAATTCTTGTTTAAGTAGGAGTCTAAAAGTCTATTTATTCCTCATGCATAAATGCATAAATCACATCACTTTTTAGTGCAATGCTTGTTATAGTAATATAATTCCACATTGTCTAATTATGAAATCATAACAACAGATAATGGCAATGAAGAACTGAAGACAGCAGGTTTAAGTGCTTAAACATCATGATACCCAAAGACAGGAGCGTGGCAGTAGCTCTGTGGAATGTCACAGTTTTACAAGAACAATACTGTATATTTAAAGGTTAACAGCACGTTTAGCATTCCAACAGTGTTGTCATTCAGCAAACATCATTTAAAAGAGAAAAAAAAAAGAGGAGAAGGGGGAAAAAAGGAAAGGAATCCAAAACAGAAACAAGAAAGGAAAAAATCCCAAAAAACATCATAGTGAGCTATAGCCATCAAATCAGCACTATGTACAACCTTTGGAAAGAAAGATATCTAGAAAAAAATAATTACAAGTATCATTTTTGGAAAGCTGACAAACTACACAGGACAACATTTACAATGGGGCTGATATGTGCATGTGTGCAAACCTAGTAGGTAAATACCATGATAAAAGCATGAAGGTACCGCCCCGTTGGACAGCATTAAAAGGAAATGCACTTTGCTGCATTTAACCACTGCCCAGCATCTTTGTTGCACGCTGGTTGGCTTCATCAATCCTGGTTTTGTTGGAATCGGCCTAGGGAAACACAAAGGAAAGGAACAGATGAATACAGGGCGGAAAGAGAACATCTACAGTGCTTTGTGGACACTTCTCTAGTTTTGCCCAGGTCAGGAAAAAAAAGACGCTTGAAAATACCGGAGACCGTTTTTTTTATAGTGGTATTAGAGACCCAAAAGGAAATTACAGATTTGCTGGTTTTGTGACACTTCAGGTAGCCTTTGAGTAGAGCTTTTATGTTTGTATTCAGCTTCAGTGAACTCTTGTAAATCCTGTGCCAGATCTGTAGCTGGTGCTATTGGTAGCGCTAGCAGTATTGATGGTAGTGGATGACAGGATGGGAACTGATGTGCACGCATGGATTTCACTGGTGAAAAGCTTCGGTGCTCTCTAAGATTCAGCGGACCCGGACTCTGTTCTAATTTAGATCACTAGCCATGCAGTCAAAACTAAAATTTTGGTCAGTGTAGAGAGTCGCTGGAGCAGGGAAGCTAGATCATCTGATGTAGGGAATGCTGGCAAAGACAAATTTCTTTGAAAATACATCAGTCTGGATCTCTCTGCTCGACATGGGAAAGGAAGGGAATAGGTAGGAGTGATGCCATTACTCCTTTCTCTCAACAAAGTTCACCAGTGTAGTTGCAAGACAAAGTAACCTCTCTCATTGGGCAGCAGCATAAACAGGAGTTAAGAAAAGGCAGGGATTCTACCGCTATTTGAAGCAATCAAACTGGAATTTAGTCCAGCATAGGCTGAACTGTTAACTTCACTGTCTTCCGTGGCGTAACACTTGCCATGATTATAAAATACCATTAATAAAACAGCACCACTTGGGAGGTTTAGGAGTTCTCTTTGAGTTGGAAGACACTTTGACCATGGCTTTCTGTAGCTCTGCAGAAGTTAGTTTTGGAGACTAAAGACATTGTTTTAGCTGACAAAAATTGGCAAAGCTCCATTCAAGCCCGTGTTGCTATGCCAACTTATGCTAGCAGAGGGACTAGATAAAAAATGTTTTCAATTTTTTAAATCAGACCTGTGGGAAAGGTGAGAATTGTGTTACTGCTTTGAAAGCACGAACTCAAACAGCGAACTCTTTTCTGGCTGCGTTTTGTTAGCTTTGATGATTGTTCCCACATCTCTGGGGTGTATCCAGATTGTACAGATTTATTTTAAATCTCCAATTTTCAAAGACAGCATGGTGAAGCAACTTTCCCATATACATTTAAAAATCCTTTAAAAATGGTTATACTGATATGCAATACATCGTTCTTAAATATCTTGGGCTTTTCTCCATAATTGTTTTGGCAAATGCTATGTGGATGTGTATTTTTAGTACAGTAGCACGTGCCAGATCCTCAACAAGGGTAAATCAGCATAACTATTCATTATAAGCCACACTCCTTTATTTTAGCCATGAGTTTGACCTTGTCTGCCACAGTAGAGTTTTGTGTGCTTTTGACAAAAGACTACCTAAAAAACAAGTTAATGGTTTTGGAAGCAGTTACGTTTGTCATGAAACACATGAATATTGATGGCATATTGATGAAACATAAATTCCTAAATAGGAATACTAAGGTCTAACTCTGGTGGATGATGTTGCATCGAAGTCAGTGGGAGTCTTTGTGCAGACCTTCCCACCTAGGTCAAGACAGAATGCTTTGAGCCCTTCCTTCTTTCCTCCCAGCCTCCTATTTATGGCTCACTTTAGGGCCAGGGTCTTCTGGTGATGATGTCTGGGCCATTTGACCCGCTCATCACATCATCATTTTAGTTTTTGTCCCTTTCCCTCTGATTTGAGGGAAGGATAAAGACTTTTATTCATTGCTATCCTGATTACTGTGGATAGACCAGACTACATCTCTGCGTTATGAGATTGCTCTGGTTTGGATGCATGCATCCTGTTTAACATAAATGCTCCTTTAGGAGCATTTGGGTTAGCTTTGTGATGCACCCCAGCTTTTGCAAAGTGTGCCAGCCGAGGGTCTTTCTAATGACCATAATTTGGTCAAAAGCACAGTGCTCCAGCTGGTCAGGAAAAGAAAACAGCAACGCTGTATGCCCACCGCCAGCTAGGGACGATGCTCTGTTGGCATATTTCATTGCAAAATGGATGTGTATGCATTTGTGGTTTTAGTATTATCCGGCTAACCATCATTGCTGTCTTTTATAGAGCGTTCTCCTAATATATTGTGTTTCTTTTTCTAGTGTCTCATTACTGTGTGTCCTCACTCTGAGAAGTTTGGCAGATTTTCACTAAGACTGAAGACTGTCTTGTTTTTGTGCTGCTTTCGTGACGACTCCTCTGTGTACACTGCAAAGTCCATCTTTCAGAAATGTGTCACTGTTCTTTAGCCAAGGGCTCTGCCTGACGAGGCCTGCCTGTGAGGCTGGATTTAATGAATCACATTAGCTTGCAATGTTGTTTTTCTATTGCTGTATGAAATGCCTAACTCCGTAAAAAGACCGCATAGATGTGGAAGGCCAGTCCCTCAGCTAGCTAACTGCTCTCAGCATGCACTGCCTGGAGATTTGGCCCATGTGCTTCATGCGCACAAAGGGCCTGGTCAATGTTTTCAAAATCCAGACGTTTGCAAGCCTGAGGTGATAGGAGGACAGTGGCTTGTTAGGTTTGCTGTAGTTTGTGATTGTATCCTGGAGGCATGGATAGGACGCAGCTGATTTCCATCCACAGGGCATGTCTCCTGCCACTATGTTATGTCATGAGTAGGGTAGCTGGTAACATGTCATAGTGCGTGTCCTCCCACTTGCTCTGAGAAAAGAACGTATGTCCTAGACTTCTTATTTAAAGGTAGTTATGATGTAGGCTGTATAATCTTCCAGTCCCTTCTCGCAATGTAGATAGATGTGCTGCTTTCTAGTGCTTTTCATATGAATAACAGCAGTAAATTTCCCCCCCCCCTTGCTCCTATTTTTCCCAGAAATGCTGCAGAATGGCATCACAGTAATACTGTGCAATTTCCAATACAGTCTGTATTGGGTTTGCATGGCAAGGTTTTTGTAGCTGGGGGGGGGCTATAGGGGTGGCTTCTCTGAGAAGCTGCTAGAAGCTTCCCCTATGTCTGATAGAGCCAATGCCAGC